AGGAGGAGGAGGAGGTGGAGGAGGAAGAGGAGGAGGAGAAGGAGAAGGAGGAGAAGGAGAAGGAGAAGGAGAAAGAGAAAGAGAAGAAAAAGAGGACAAAGAAAAGAAAAAAATCTCTTTTAACACATTGATATCTCATAAAATCCTACTTCAAGGCAGGAGAAAATGACAATACCTCTTTACAACTGTATTTTAAATCCAATATAAAGTAAATAATTAATAATCATGATGTTTGAGAAACAACCAAGCAAAGCAACAACAAAAAAATTCATATAATTTTAATCTTGTCCATGTTTACATACTTCATGAAACAGCATGATTAAATGAACTTGTCAAAGCACGATGTTTTTTAGGCAGAGACCAAGATAGTGAATATTTTAAAAGCATTCCTTTCTAAGAAGGATTTTCTCCCTTCCTCCTCATCCTCTCCCCCATCCTTCGTCCATCTCTTCCTATTGATTAGAACATCAAGCTAGGAACAAACCTTCTAGACAGACAGTCAAGAAAAGTCCAAATCCCACTCTAGTTCAAATCGCTACTTTGTTCTTTCAAACCAAGCTCCAGCCCCTCTCAAAGACAAGCGACAAGTAGATACATGTGTTATTACTGAGATGACCCCTAGCATGGAGAAATACGGCAAAGCATCAGTAGGTTAAGCTGTTAAAAGTTACAAAGTTATTAAGTGCAGAAAGCAGGGTTTTACAGGAGAGGAAAAAAACAGTTTCATTCTTTTAACAATTGTTCCTATATCATGTATCTTTACTTGCTTTTTTTCAACATTTTGAATTTGAATTTCAACAAAATATTTCCTGGGTTCATGCAAATGATCCCACAGATTATGAAGCTGAAATAAAAACAATTTACGCAATTTTGAATTTAGTACATTTTAACTGCTGACCGATGATACGGCAGTTCAGAGACCCCAAGTCTTCTACAACAGTCTCAACTGTCATCTCTGACATTGCACATAACAAATTCAAAAGTCAAACATGCTGCTTCAATTGGTAAAGGGATAATGGCGAAAAGATAGATAAAGTACCACCAAACAAAAGTTGCATTTTGGCACAACACTGAGTTATGCTATTTTGCTAGCACAGTGACGATATAGGCCTACATAAATAAGTCTACTGCATACCTGGAGTATACATTAGTGAAATTGTACACTCAAAATCCTTCAAAGAGAAAAGCATCACCCAAAATATTTACTGTTGTACTTCTAGACTCTTTCCCCTTTAATTTTTCTTTCCTTATCCACACTCAAAGCTGTGATAGGTACTAAAACATGAGAATGACTTTTTATAGTACTTTAAGCAACCTAAACAATAAAGTCAGAAAAAATGTACACGAGGACCAGATGTTTTTATTATAATGGAAATAAATGAAAAGTATAGTGATGAAGTCACGGAGGTCAAGGAGAAGAGGCTCTTTTCAGATTATACTATAAACATACAGCAGCAGGGTCAGGAGAACATTAAGTGAAAAGCTGTGAGGTGCGAAGTTTCAATATTTGTAAAATAACACCAATGTGATGAGGTCACAAAGGTCAAAGGTTGTGACTCACCTGCTCCAGTTCTGTTTTCACGGCCAGTTCACGCCAGTGACGCTCAAACCTCTGACGCTGGAGTTCTCTCTCCTTGGCCTGGATCTCTGTGTCCTTGGCCTGGATCTCTGTGTCCTTGGCCTGGATCTCTGTGTCCTTGGCCTGGATCTCTGTCTCCTTGGCCTTCACCTCCGACTTAATGTCCAGGTTTTCCTGTGTTTTATCACAGAGCGTCTTGTGGTTGTCAGTGCCGGCCTTGAGCAGACCCAGCAGGAGGGGAGAGTCGGGGAACTGGCCACCTGAAGATACAAACACTCATATGGTTAACAATCTATCAACTACACCACTCTGATCATGTACTACCTGTTTTTTCTTTTTTTTAGTAAGGCTGAAAACATATCTAAAAGAAGATTATGAAGACTTGACCTGGCTGAAAACACAAATCACACAATCAAAGAACTACCCCAGTCAGAACATTCTTTTTTCCTCCTCAAACCTTGAACAAACTTCTTTATCCCTTTTATCAATTTGGATTTCAAAGAAAGACTTTCATTATCATTGATGCTATAAAGTCAGGTAGATTACAAGAAACAAACAAGGATAAGAATTGTAGTAATAAATTACTCGGGATATCAGACAGAGGGGTCATGGTAGCCTCAGGAGCTCAGAGTTCAAAGATATACTGCTGATATTACCTATCAGTGTCAATAGGCATAGTCAGAAAGAATACAGTGTAAGACAGTGTTTCATGACACTACCACTAATAGATAATCGTGTATGACAAATGTACTTATGTTGAAGGAAAAGACGATGATAATGATGCTGATAATGATGTAGCTAATAATGAAAATGATGATGACGATGGCGATGATAATGATGATGATGATGATGATGATGATGATGATGATGATGATGATGATGATGATGTCAGAAATAATAAACACGATGACGACGATGACAATCATGACTTAAGAAATATTATTATTTTCTGGCTAAGTCCCCTCCCCTTATTAAGTTCCACAAATGATTACACTGTAATGGAAATAAATAACACCCCCAGAGTCAAACAGCCAGCACAATAACATGAGAATACTTTTTCATTTCCTGCACTCCTGAGGTCTGAAATTTTAAACTTAAAAAATCTCAACCTCCCCACCCAACCTGGTCGATAGAATCTGAGTCAAATCACATTCTCTGAGAGCACAAAATTATTTCCTGGATAGTGGAATGACTCACAAGTCAGGTAAAAGAAGGTGATGATGGCATCAGAGATTTGCTCTGTGCTGTACCCACGTGCACGAGCTGCAGAGATAGACTCCAGGTCCAGGTACGGTCTGGGACCAGCTGGTGGTGGTGATGGTTTTGGTGTGGATGATGTTGCTGATGGTGGTGTTGCTGAAATTATCTCTGTAGTGGGTGATGCTGCTGCCTCAAGATCTGAAAGGGACACAAAAACGTTTGGTCAACTCCGTGATACTGATATCATATAAACTACAGGTTATGTCATTTGTGAAATCCGGGACTGAAAAGACTTGTATTCATTTTAACTTCTGTTAAACTAGACAGTTAGGTTTAAATCATGCCAGATAAAGTTAGTTGATGATGCCAGCTGTACAACAAATTGTCTGAGTTAACACACATTCTAAGCAAAAAAACACACACTAATTTCTAAAATTTACAGAACAGCTTCTTCATAAAGCCCAAGCTCTGTCAGTCTTTATAGACAATAAATTATACAGTCTTTATAATAATAAATTATACAGTCTTTATAATAATACATTATAAATGATACCAAAACCAGTACTACAGATTGAATTGACATACTTTCATAACTTTTTCATCATTGTAAGACACTCAAACTTTCTTATATTTTAGTTATTCATTAGGGATGTCTTTCATTATCTTTCTGGTCCATTAAGGGGACTCGATACTTACGGGACAACATTTTTAGCTAAAGAAAAACTGAAACAACTTTGGTCACAGTCAGTAAGTTTGAGACAAAAGATTCGTGTTCAACTGTTGCCACACTCGATTATGTAAGCCATTACCATGGAAATGGCAGCCATCTTGAAAATTGGATAGACAATTTTTTCTCCTCCACCAATTCAAGAAATTTCCACTCATTATAAACATTGCAAGAGTACTTTCTTACCTTGAGCTCGACTGTCTTGCTTTACTCCAACCACAAGCTGTGGATGATAAAATCGAAAAAAAAAAAAATTAATTGTAAGAGTAAGTGTACAAGTTTAAGTTTAAGCCAGCATCTGCGTTTGTTGCCATTTTTTTGTCCAAAAGTTGCCTAAAATTGCCATAAAAGTTTCCGTTTATTTTCAAGCTTTCATCTCTCTGTGACGATGTGTATATGTAGCAATTTGTTGATATAGGTAACTTAATCTAAGGCACCACAATTTCTTGGGCAGAATCCAGAATATCATTTGTAGCCACACAGAGTGTAAAAACATGAACAATAAAGGCTTCACAACAGAATCAAATCAAACTTAGAGCAGCACATACACAATCACAGAAATTAACAAATAAGTGTGAGTGTCCACCTATCCAAAAATGGCTATTTTAACCCTAAACGTGTGTAATTCAAGGAAAAGTAGACCAACAAGATATTACATGTAAATCATGTAAATTATGAAATCACACACAATGTCAGTGTGCGGTTTTGGAGCAGACACGCTCTAACATAACACATTTATTTTATATATAATATATATATATATATATGTGTGTGTGTGTGTATATATAAAGGTAGGAACAACATCAAATTAAATGACATTATGCTATATATAAAAACAAAAAATAGTAAAACAACACATCAGAAAAATAACAATTTAAAAAAATTAACACACCAACAAATTAAAACACAACAAAGAGGGAAAAATAAAAGAGAAACAGCAATAGAAATTGTATGTAATGTACTTATATTCTTCAAGTATAAAATAACAAATCAACGTGGTGTAACAAGTGAAAGAGAGACAAAGTGAAGCTGAAGTGAAAATAAACTTTCTTTCTAAAAGTAAAGAGGTTCGTTTTCTCTTTTCCTTTTCTTTTCTTTTTAAACATATTTTTATTCCTCAACTGGACAATCACTAAAGACAGTGAAAATAAAATAGAAGCAACAGAAATATGTTTTTTTAGGAGACTGCTTAGAGTATCGTGGAAGAAAAAGAAATCAAATGATGCTTGATGAAGCCCATGTGGGACGCTCAATGTTAAAAACAATCAGGAAACAACAATTGCAGTTTTTGGGACACATAAATAGACATTATAGGGTCTTGAACATCTAGCTCTCACTGGCAAAATTGAGGGCAAGCCAGACAAGGGAAGGCCCAGAACAACATACTTAGGGAACCTAAAAAAATGGGTAACAGGAAAAGATCAGGGAAATGTAGCTTTTTTGAGAGCTTCCGGGCAGAGGAATGAGTGGAGAACCATGATTGCCGATGTCTGTCACAGATCTGGCACTGGATGATGATGATGATTCCCCAACAGTGGTTTGTTTTTTTTAATGCAAAAATCGCGGCCGCGATTCGTGGACCAAAAAATGCCAAAAATCGCGGCCACGATTCGCGGGTCACGGCCGCGACAAACGCAGATGCTAGTTTAAGAGTAAAAAAGAATGCTTTTACCCATGGTCATTCCATGCTGATGCTTTGATTTCTGCACATCAATATGGTTTCAACAGAAAAGCAGATGTGAACGGGAAGTAATTTATTTTGAAAATACATAGAGAGTTCAAGTACGGTTCTGTTAATTATTGTGAGAACAAGAAACAAAAATTCTGAAGATAAATCATTATAAGATTCAAAAGATCAAGAAAAATAAATAGAGCACTTTAAAGATTTGAAAGCAATTTTAATACACCTCTGAGTAGAATAGTTTATTTCTTTCTTCACAACTTCAACTTTCATCATACAGGAAGCTATAATAGGTAGGCCTCTATACACATGTTACAATAAAAGTAATCATGAATTCACCTCTTGTTGCTGAGCGTTGTTGATGAACTCTTGACCTTTGTTGTGCTGCAGGAAAAAACAGGATGGAGAGGCACGGGCGTGCTGGGTCAGTGGATCAGCACCAGGCATCCAGTCAAAGAGTTCAACACCACAAGAGAAACAGCGTACCATGTCATTATGACCTGTGGGAAATTTTTATTGCAATAATAATAAATAAAGGTTCCATTTTCTTAATCACAGTAAATTTCATAGCTTTGTAGGATGGTCTAGGATAATTAAGAGCCATTATATTTTATTGAAATTATATTTCAGTAAAGACAACTAAATGAAAAGACAATGCATGTGAAGTATATGAAAGTTAAAGAAAAAGACGAAAAGAGAGAGAGCTTCTCTCAAAATAAAAACAATGGACTGCATAAATTACAAATATTTTGGAAAGGAAAAAATCAGTTAAACTAATCTAGTTTGTGCACCTAAAAAAGCTAACATTATTTTTCTACAAGTTTGAAAAATAAAAATGTATAATTAGGCCTATCCATCTAAATTAGATCAAGGAAACTCAAATAATGTTAAATCAATTACAAAAGGAAAGGAAAAGAAACTTAGTTTCATGATTTAGGCTAAAAGTAAAAGGCCTTAAAATGGGAAAATTTTCAAAGACCAAACTCTACAAAAAATTTTTATCAGTGAAGAGACCTGGCCTACCTGTGCAATAGAAACCTGCATCAACCATAACATCCAGAGAAAACATTGTTTTCAGGATCTTTGGCCACAAATCAAAGGTACCAGATCTGTCTGTTGGACTTTCGAACTCCGGATACATGATACTGTACTGTTTTACAACAGAAGAATTCCCCTCATTCATGTCTGCAAAATGCTTCGAACGTTCTTTCTCCAGAATACTCCTTTGTTCTTCACTTGTAATATTTCCCACATCAAAGTGGCACACAAAAGGACACTCAGGTGACTTTTCCTTGTGCACATCTCCAATGTCAATACACACGTTAAATTCTATCTGGAGTCCACAAAACACACACTTTGCGCACAAGCTAGAGATCATAATAAAGCCCTCCTTTGACCATTTTGCTGCCTCAGTTGAGCTTGGTATATCATAAGTTGTTCGCCGAAGACTTTCAAACAACATGGGATAGTCACCAGCCAGAGGTTTGAAAGGGTGTACAATAGCTTGACGTCTGCCATATTTGGCAAAACTGTGATTATTATTTAATCTATTGGGAAACAATTTTCTTTTTAGAGTTTCTTCATTGTTAGCATCACATGAGCTGCAAATGGAAAATATTGTTTCTGGTTCCTGCACATCTTCTACATTGACCTCTGATGATGAAGAAGTAGCAACAAAATGAAGCGGAACAGTGGGTGGTGTGTTCAGAAATGGACAGTTTGGGCTTCTAGTTCTGTGGACAGCAAGGGGGGGTTCTCCTGACCATCCACTGTGTCTGACACTGCAAGAACGACATACCAACTCATCTGAAGCATTTGGAATATTGTCTGCGCGTTCCCAGCCGGCTTCAGCAAATTTTATTGGAGTGTTGGAGAGCAAACTCACAAAGTTTTGCGGGAGAGGAGAATGAAAGGTGCGGAGTCTTTCCATGAAAGATGCCGATGCCATATTGCGTTGGCTTTCAGTTGTAACACATTAAACGAACCAAGTTTCCATTCATTAAGAATAAATACAGACTCCTCCTGAATTTAGCAGAATATTTTTGTATTTTTGTAGTATTCAGTCGATTGTTTATAATTTCCAGAGTGATAGCAGCAAGCCCCGGAAATACGGATGCGTTCGCGCGACTTACCTCCCTTGATACTAAAATTAGCTAAGGGCAATTCCCGTTATGTTGGAACCAGCTGATGGGCTGGTGGGCTGGTAGTGATAGGGTGGACCCTAGAATTTGATGGACGTGAGGGAATGTTCTGTTCGTCGCCAACTTTGTTTCACATCTTCACGTACATCAATTCTAGAGCTATTACTTCTGCTCTTCTTTCACCCCTTACTCTTTCTAAACAATTTCACTAACTTACCTTCTAACATATATATCATATCATTCTTATACTCCGTTGAGGTAGCACTAATACTAATAATACTAATGTAATTGAATTCATGTTTCAAATCAGAGTATAATAATTTAATGTTGATTAGTATAATTAAGTGTTTCATTTTCTGCCCTCTGCACTTTCAGAACAATTCTTTTTATTTCCTGATATTTTTACCATTTCATCGTTCTTACTGCTTCATATCTTAATCTAATTCTGAGCTGGACCATCTTGAGATCTTACCCTTCTACAACAATCGATGCAGTATATAATATTATACAGTCAAACCTGTGTAAGGACAAAAGTGGCCGTGTAAGACAGGTGGCCGTCTTACGCAGGACTGATCAAGATGAAGAAGACAAGCTATTCCCATCTGAGGTCCCAATTGAAAGTAGCCGCATTGTTGTTTTTGTTGTTGTTGTTGGTGGTGGTGTGTTTTTATTTTGTTTGTTATTTTTATTTTGATGCTGATTTTGCACAAGGGTGACAATAAAACGAAATGTATCAGACGAGGAAGACTGAGTGCCATGTTAAAACAAACACATGGGTCGCCACTACTCGGAGAAGGAGGGACGCTTCTGTCACAAGTTCATGTTGACGTCCATTGCTACTTTGTTACAGACTGGGTAAACAGTCACCACTCATCTCACTTACGATTTGTGTATGAGTTCTGGGTGGGGCTTATGGGTAATGAGGGATAACACGCTAACCTCACTAGCAGTTGAAAATTGATAGCTATTGGTCAACAGTGGGAGGGGCCAACACAACATGATTGGTTGGAGGGACAACTTAACAATAACAACAGGTGATTGAATTATGACGGCTCGCCCACAACGCCAGGGGTCAATGCACAATTTATGAAAAAACGTAATGGAGTCACTAAGGTGGCCGTCTAAGACAGGTGTTATTGATTAGAGTGATAGGGGTTATGTGTTAAAATATGGTGGCCAGGGCCGCGTTAGACAGGTGCCCGTTTTAAACAGTTAAATTATATAGAAAAAACGCAAGGGGGGAAATGGAAAGTGGCCGTTTGTACAGGTGGCCATCTTATAGAGGTGGCCGTCAGGGCAGGTTTGACTTGACTATATATATATATAGTTGGTTCCATATTCGCTCAGTTCACTTTTTATTCTTATTCTTATATTTATTGGAGGCTTCAGTTTGAAGTGCAGCAACTTCTTGAGTCCAAATTGAAGTTGGGTCCATATTTTCCAGCCACTTAACCCACGGGATAAATTTAATATCCTACTTTGAACATTTTACTTTAGTCAACTAGAAAGGGCAATTGATATTAAACAAACCACTTTTTCTCCTCAATCATAACATCTAAGGAAAATTAACTTGGAAAACCGTCTAACAGCACACCGTACTCTTCTACTCATCTCATCCCATATTGATTTGACTAAACATTCAAAATGAATGAGGAAAAAATTCATGCTTCGGATTATATACATATTTTTATTATTGTATACGTTGTCAAAAAGTCAGTCTGCTATCTATAAACAGGGCATAAAGAATTACAGCAACAGAACACTAAACAAGACAACATATACACGTAACAAAAGAACACATCAGGTTGCTAAACTTAAACAGGACTTTGTACTGATATTACTTTGAAAGGATGGTGAAATGCTGAACATATCTTCATCGATCATATAATGAATATCCTTTTTTTCTGTTTTCCTATTCTTTCGTTAACAGAGTGTCCAATCCTGTCCCTTACCTTTCAGGCAACAAGTGACATATTCGGAGGTGCTTTAACTGATCCTCAACAAGCACAGGACTTCCAAGTTTTCCAACATTATATTGTACTCAACGCCACTTAACTTAGAATGGCGCATGGACAGAAAAACCCTGTGAAAACCTAAACTCACCCACAAACTACGTCCTCATGACAACAGGATCAAACCAAGCATTACAGATGTTTGTACCGTGGCACAAGAAGCAAGTATCTTGACTCAAGGTAACAAGACTTAGCTAAACTGCCAACTTTAGAGCCTGAGTGGCCCAAGCATCAAAACTGGAGAAATCTTCCTTTTTCTAATTCATAAGGTTTAGTTGGTTATCAATGAGACCTCTTCAAATAAACAGATGCAACAAAAATGTATTCTTTTTTTAGTTCAACCAAAGGAATCCAGAGCATGTAAAAAGTAAGGGAGCTTCAGGTACAACATAACAGCATGTCTTACCGCATGAAATCACAAGGATAAAAAACTCAGATAAAAAGCTGACAGAGAGAGATTTCCAGAGGGGGAAAAAAAAAGAATTCTGACAAAGGTATTGTTTTGGTTTTGTTCTCCCTGACACAACTAAATGAAGCGATTTCATATGTTACACCTTTGATCAACAGGTCGGCATAAAAAAAAAAAAAGACAGAGGACAACAGTATTTAACAATAGTAAGTACAGATAAAATCAAAAGGCAGAATTCTTTAGCCAGAGAGATTGTGGTGTGTGAGTGGAGAAGCTGCATCTCTTGCTGGTGGGGTAGTAGTAGACTATTTATATCCATTAGTCCATTCTGGGTATCTGACAAATATGTCAACACAGACTCAACTGCTTTGTTCAACAAGAAAATCAAAGAATAAAGGACAATAAAGTGCACAAGTAAAGGTAGAAAAAAAAGCTGCCTTCCTTTATGCCACCAAAAAACATTTGGTAAATAATTCAGTTGTTCAGAGAAGGTAATAAAAAAAATATGCATAAAACTTCGCTGCCTCGTTCATACTAAAGAAAAGAGATCCACTAGCTTAAGATCAAAACCTTCAAGTGAGGGTCAGTTTGTGTAAGAATGACCAGCTGCCTATCACTGGGATATCACTGACACGTGGTAGACAAATATTCCACAGTGTGACCACTTGATGAACAATTTGTTGCCAGAATAATGTGACCATTATAAAACAACTAAACTTAGGTGTTCAAAGTAAAATAAGAGTGCTTTAACATCCCTCAGAAAAAGAAATTTTGGCTGAGACCAGTCAGCCATCTGTACATCTTTACAACATGTGAAAGTTTACTGAACAAGTATCGCTTCCCTCAGGGTAAAATTTACTTTTCAAGAAAATGTTTTTTATAAAATCATTTGAAAATAGTCTTCATCACAAACTCTTAAACCTACTTTGAATTCATATAGTTTCACAAGATAATTTCATAACTTCTACAAATTGGGTCAAAATTTAAATTACAAAACACTCCAATGTCATTTTTTTAAAATGTAAAAATTCACATATTAAAAGAGCAATATTGGAGCAATCTGAAGTAAAATACCCATAGAGCAGAAGCCTGTAAAGACATGAAATTGCTTTTAACTCTTTAAACCCCATCCGACGCTGGAAAGTCCGGTGGCAATAACCCTGTTCCCCAAGGGAGCGTTTGATACTAGTGATAACATTTTCGTTTTATTTAGAGCTAGTTTTTGCTTGTTTTTCAGAACTATTCGCAAACCAAATTTTTAAAGTAATGACTAAGCATTTGTTTCCGCCATTTAGAAGTTGGAGGCAAGCTTTTGGGGAATCCTGGGAAGTGTAAAAGAAAAAAATATTCTTTGAAGAACAAGAAAAATGGTACCCAATTTAGATTTGAAGGCTAAATTCAGGTGTTCATGTTGACTATTACTATTAAGGAATAAATAAAACTCAATTCCTAATAAAATTAAGGGTGGTTGTTGCAGGTCAAAACATCAATTTCTCTTTTCTATCTTTTCATTCATGTCTCTCCATACACAAAAGAAAAATGAATAGTAAAAGAGAAGCAAACCAGATTGAAGTATCTGCCATTACATGTGTTCATTATGGCTGCCTTAAATATGCTCTGGCCTATTACATACAACATTAAGATTGAATAATAGACAAGGGAAGAAGCTGCAAGAGAGTGCATTTGCAACGTCAACAAAACAGTAGTGTGCAACAGTTGTATTTCAATAACTGTAATTCAAGAAAAGTGATGACTAACCAGGATTATATGAAATGTAAACCAACATCCCAGTCAGAGAGTCAAACTACATCATCATGATTTATTATTATGAAATTTTGCACATTTCCATTAAATTAATAATATTATGTACAACGGACATATTATATTCACAAATGTTTTGTACATGGTATTTACAAACTTCAGGAGGATAATAACAATAACAGCAGAAAGTGGAGAGATGAAACAAAAGTCAGAAGTGTGGAAATTAAATTTGCGGACCGGTAAACAAATTATTGGGAGGGGAAAAAGCCCACAGTGAAAGAAAGATTAAGACAGTAAACGTACTGAGTGAAAGTATCACATGTTGACACAAAGCACTATACACAGTGGGAACATACAATTAGAAAAAAATACTATGAAAAAGAGTGGCGTTGAGAGAAAATAACTAAATTAGGAGAGATGTGGGAAAGTAAAAAGGGAGAAAAGTTGATCCTGAGGGAGAAAGTAACACAAAATGAAAAAAAGAAACCTCTACTGCAACACAGAGGAAAATATAATATAAAATTAACGTCAGAAGAAAAGACAGGAATTAAATGAAGAAATGGGTATATGATGTACAATACTTTTTCATCAAACTTCTCTTGGAAACAAAAGAAATTGTCATGTAACCCTTTAATGTTCACATTCTTCACCAACAATGGCCATAATGCTCCAACTTTCTGTGCACTTAAAAGCCACAATGTGTTCGCATTCTTTCGCACTTTGGGGGAAAAAAAAGTAAATTTTGACAGCTGATGCTAACTCTAACACACTTTCCTCAGTAAAAACGAAAACTAAGCTACAGGTTAATGTCAGAGATCCATTTTTATCACTGTAAATCCTACACCATTGAAGCGGCATGGAAGAACTTTAGCGGAACATTTTTTATCAGCCCGTTTTGGTGATGTTGAAGACTGGCACTCCGAGTTGAACAGAAAAGGTTTTTTAAGAAAAATGAAAAAATAGTGACATCTGCAAAAATACCACCAACAACTGTAAAAAAGAAACAACAATGACAATTATTGCTATTAGCTTTGTAACCACAAGATAAAAGAACTAACACATGAACTAGAACTAGCAGCACAAGAGAAATGTGGTGAAAAACAAAAAGGCCATAAAAAAATTTAAACAAAGCTAATAATAAAACCAAAGACTGTTAACAAATTTTACTTATTCTTAAGTGAAGTATGTTGATTCCTATAGGTTGTGATATATAACAGGTAATTGTGATATACAACATGCCCAGGTGATCACAAGAAATCAGACATGATCTCGAAGACTCGAAAATTAGAATGGAAATATTGACACATATCAGTGGTGCTTCATACGACCATACTTACCTCCTTGAATAAAAAAAATGAAAGCAAGCACTATGTGTATGTAAGTCAAACAAAACAATTCTCATACCAGCACAAAACAGAAAAACACGTCTATGTGAAAAGCTAGTCAGTAATCATAGTGTACACCACCTAGAAAACACACACAGATTCATGAACAGCTGCCACTCATTAACACAGAGACCACAAGTGACATTTTAAAAAAAATCACAGATATCAAAACATAAAATACTGAAAGATTTTTAAACTACAATCAAACCCCATTATACCACAAACCCTGGGACGGGCATGAAGTAGGAGGTATAGCAGGACTGGTAGTATAACAGTGTTTTACTGCTGTCCTCTGATAAAATAGCATCCACTTCCCCATGTCAAGGAAATTTATCCTGTCATCACCAGATGAAAGACAATATTATGATGAGTTATTTCCCTTCGTCTAAACCATGTTGTGATGGCTTTCAGGTTTCCTGCATAGGACAAGAACGAGAGATTATCAGAGTGGGTGCTGTGGACTGCGTGTACCTCTGGCAGGTTGTTGAGGGTGGTATTGAGATTTGACTGTAGTTTATTGAGACTGAAAATGTTTCATGTATACCATACCACTGTACTAGAAAGAAAGAGCTATCAGTTACTCAGCAACAGCACAGACCAAGCTTCAAGTATTAGAGAGTTCTTCTGTCCAAACATTATTTTTTACATTTTTGAAAATTTAAAAAACATAAAATAATTTTAAAAAGCAGATGAAGATCAGATTAGTACAATATTGTTGTGAGACGTAAAATAGCAAGGAATTTTACATGTACCAGTATATAGCTATGGGATAATTTTTATACAAATGAATTCCGGATGGCAAAGCTCACAGCTGACCTTCAAAAGTGCAAAGTAAAACACTCAATGATCACAGGAAAGACACTATATATTCATGAAAACCAGTGTACATGAAGAAAAATTTTGGGCAAGAACATAAATATTGGAATACCATAACATACAAGAAAAGTAGGTGCTGCTTTTAAAAAATGTTCAACAAATGTATGATTCACCTACAAAGTTGCTAATGAAGCTTAACATCAATTACCAGGAACAGATAGGAAAAAAAACCTTAAAAATTTGATGTTTTCAGCTGCAAAAAGATTATTCACTTTCAGTGCACACATGTTTGTGTTAGAATGATAATTATTATGTTTTTTGTTTAGAATTTAAAAAATGTCTGAATAAATAATATCAATTCTTGTAATGACTGTCACACTGCATCAGAATGGACTGCATAGTTGCATAAACTGCTACAATAAAAATCATAAGCTAGAAAGTGTGATCTTAAAATCCTAAGGGAAAAAGTAAAAGAGCTATACATTTTAATAATAAAAGGAATAAGATTACGTTGATCAGATTTTTAGTTCATGAATTTCATTTGATCTGTTCACTACAACTTTCATAGTTTTCCCATACAGACTAGAAATCAAGTAGGCCAAGAATCTTAAGCCTCAAAAAATTGTTTTCAATACCTTTGAAATTTCTAAGGAGCCCATGCAAATATTCTGTACATTGTCAAAACTATGCAGACCTGTAAGCAAAACATCCTTGATACAGTCCTTAAAACTTATTAGCTCATTCACAATAGAATGAGGAGTAAAGATTTGTCACTATGGACCGCTGCGATTCACTGCACAACTAAAATCCACATGATTTACATCTATAAAAAGTTAGAGTCTTTAAAAAAATGAGTACATCCCTTTCCTTTTAAAAGTCAACTTTGGAATAAAATCGATTAAATCCGTTAAAATTTTTATTTTCTTATCAATCATCTGTAGCTGTTTTGAACAATAGTAAAAAAAATAGGCATGTCTAACTGCTGTGTATCTAGCCAAGTCCCCAATTTTGGTGAAAATGTATATATGTCCTAAACTTAATTGCCATAAAAATTCTAAGATATTTATGTCATTTGGAGATAAAATGGTTAATACAATAGCGTGTCAGTGTATTACTATCTAGTTAAAAGCTAAACATTGTAAATCTTCTAAGCATGTATTCATAATTTGAACATTGATAACATACAAAACAAAGTGAATAATATGCTTTATAAAAAATGATAGCAGTAAACATACACGCAGAAAAATAAAACCTTCACTGTGCAAGCTAGTTACATTGAACTAAGAAATGTGTGTATATATAATAATGTTATCATGTAAATTTCATTATGTTAATTAAGAACACAGTTCAATTTCCAGCAGTGTAACACTGTTATATATAACTTTTACATACTCCCAATTTGACTCAAGTTTCACGAAGCTAGAATGAAATGTGACTTTAAGACTTCACTCATGACCAAAGACATCATAGCTGCACCTTAGATGACATAATTTAATTGTAAACTGGGACATACAGTCAGTTATTCACAATATGTCTTCAGCTAAGAAAATGTATTTATCTCATAAATCATGACAGTTAACAGGGCTCCCAATCAAGACAGTAACCACAATGGATCAGATATAGGACAGTAGGGCCTATGACATGACAGTAATAAACATTGAAATGGCAACGAGGAATAGAGAGGAGATAAAATAGTAAAGTACACAAACCACCCTTGGTAGAGCAAGGCTTATATTGCTTTCAGGTGATATCGCTTTATTCCAATCAGGACAGTCTAAATGTGGTTTCCAAAAAAAAAATTGCCCCACAAACAGTACTCAATAGCCCCAAACCATTAAATGGAATACGTAATGTATAGTTATATCCTGTCCTGAATATTTTACTGTTGTGTAAGAATGAACAATTTGCAGCTATGCTACAACATGTGGACTTTGACAGCCACTGACAACCAAATGTATGTACATCATTGCATCATTACTCAATCATGTGAAAAAAACTACATTTCACATACTACCTAAGAGGGCTATGCAAATAACATGAACTACAGAACACAATGAAATTATGACTCATGCTCTCAGGTCAGTCACATCTTTACCGTCACACAGGATCAAATTATTTGAGAATGACTTATTTTTACTCAATTCCAAACATAATAACTTGCTGGAGGTAGCTCTATCTATTAAGCCATGTTGCAACAATAAAATGTACAGACTTCCATGATACAGTTCGTACCAGTAAATATGTATAATACCTTAAACTAAAGTGATAGAATGAATATGAACATGTCCTAATTCAAGACACATAGACTTTCTCCATGTCTGTGGTAATTTGTCGACAAATGGGGCATCGTCCGTCCAGTTTGGAAACACACAGAGCACAGCAGCACAGATGGTTACACGGACGCAGCAAGACCTGCATGGGTGCGTCAAGACACATCTGGCAAGTCACCAGATTTACATCCTCGTTGCGACTGGTGTTCTGACTTTCTCTCACATCGGGGTCACCAGATTGGTCTGGGGATAAGAGCGATCATAATAAGATACAGTTTACTTCTTTTGAGTTTAAGTAATGAGACGCACATCGACTTATTAACGGTCATTTAATGCAGGGAAAGACAGACAGAAACAACAGAGGGGAAGAAAAGGAGTAGAACCAGACTTGCCACAGTATGAAATCTAAAAATCAGGATCTCAGGAGGGAAAAAATCGGGATTTGGTGAAAAAAATCAGGACCAACGACAAATCACTAAGGCGGCTGCCAAAATTGTCCAGGGTTGTCTATAAATATATCCATGCATGTGCAATGTGTGTGTGTGTGTGTGTACGTGCGTGTGTGTGTGTATGTGTGTTTTATAATTTTTTTTAAAATCCTGAAGTATCACGTAAAGGACTCCTAGTCCTAGTCAGAGTGCGGCAAGTCTGGAAAGATGCTATGCTTCCCCCAGTGTGCATGAACTTAAGTTGACATTGTCGATGAACTGTCCCCAACACATGCGAAACTCGCACGCTCAAGTCATGTGATGTGACTGCAACAGATATACTGATGGGTCTTGATGACCGGCCCGACTAACCAGAACTTGTACAAAGCAAGGTTTGAAAGTAACAGTAGAACTATGAATGGTATTGATTATTGTATGTTGCAATTGAAACTGCTATCAGGCCATCATCAGAGAATTCTGGGTGGAAACGAAAGCGAAAGTAGATATTGAGAATGTCCCAAGCCAGAATGCCAAATCGATACTACTTCCATTAGGTATAGTTGAAATAACATGTGCAAGTATGATCCAACACAACTTGGGGCCAGTCGACTACAAAATATGGCATCGATACTTCCGTAAATAGTGTCCCGAGTTCCTGCTGACAAAAAGTTTAATGGGTGCTCCCCGCGACAGAGAAGAAGGCAGAGTAAGTTTTTAGAAAAATCTGGTACAACAGACGGTACAAAAAATTGAAATACACGCGATCGAAATCGGGAAAATCGGGATGCTTGAGATTTGAGGTTAAAAAAATCGGGATATCTTGATTAAATCGAAATGAGTGGCAGGTCTGTAGAACCTACCAGTGTCGGGCCTCCGACAACCTACCTTTACCATTTTCAAAAAAAGACAGATCATGCATAAACTCAGATCAATACTGATATTATCACCACAGAATCTACAAACAGCTATGCCTGTTACAGATGGGCACATCTCTTTAGTTTTTTAGTTTTAGTAAGGTTTTACGGCGCTCGCAACTGCATAAGGTCATATGAGTGCGAAGGGGTGGATGTCAACAGAGAAGTCCAAACGGGGAATAAGGCTTTCTCTGCTAACCTCTCTAGCCTCAACAGCAAAAAGTCTGCTTCGACTACCAAGGCACCCCGGAAATAGCAGTTCACAAGATAGTGACAAACATACAAAAGATATGGAGGAAAAATGACGATAGTAAGGATGAGGAAAGAAAAAGCAGCAGTTCCCCCCCATATTGTCCAGCACAGTATGAACATGACGTTGATAAATCAGCCTATTTACAATTCTACTGTGCATAAGAACATGTTAATATCCCCCCTTTGGGAATGGCCTGAAGGCAACTTCAGTCAATAGCACTGCCCTGGAGGGGGGGCGGGGGGGGGATCTCTAACGCAGTTCGTGACATGTTGAACAACAGGGTAGCTGATTCCGCTTAGTGAGGCATTATTAAGCGTAGGTTGTAACAACAGTCTTCAAGGCTCTCCATCTGCTTGGCTTTGGATTGTCAAAGATCCAGATAAATGTAAATATTGGAGGTCCCACCTCTTAAATAGCCTTGCAGAGCTATTGCTGTTGCTATTTATACTGCATCGGATAGGCTTTCACTCTCACTGAACTAAAGGAGGCACTAACATTTTTAATATATTATACCATTCTCAGTTCTCATGGCAGCAAACGCACACAGAACAAATTTATAAAGATAGGAAATCCACAGGAGAGAGAGCAATGTGTCCACAAACTGACCTTCAGCATCAGTGTCCAGTCTGTCCAAGGGAGCTGACTGAGGTCTGAGTCGTTCACGTATTTCCTCTAGCTCTTGTCTCAGCATGGACAGTTGTAGGTCTTTGCTGTGGAGTGCTTCGTCTTTCTTTTCTATCACCTGTAGATTCTTTTCTATCACCTGGTCTTTCTTTTCTATCACCTGTAGATTCTTTTCTATCACTTGGTCTTTCTCTTCTATCACCTGCAAAAGTCACAAAATATAAATAGAGATCGAATAACGTCTTCAAACTGACAAGCAATCTTTGAGAAAGGAGGAGAAAAGTTCTCAGCTCACTACTCACTTATCCAGTGGGTGTTGAGTATGTATATCACACTCTCAGTAAATCCACTTTATCTGCCTGTTCAATTACCCAATTCCCATCCAAACATGTAGGCTCAAGCCCCAGCTTTCTCTGGTCAGATATAT